GGAAGAGCTCTAAAACACAATGCTTGCAACTCGTCATTAAAGTTCAGTTCCCAAAACATCAGGAATTATGCTGCCAGCACTATGTCTTATGATTTAAAAGATCATGAAAAATACATACAAAGGTTATAGTCAAGAATCAAAATTACTTACTAATAGATTTTGGACATGTTTGAGAGCATTCTCTGCACATTCACATGTAAACAAATAAGCTATTCCAAAACAAGCCAGCTCCTTTGGCACTGTTTTGGCCAGCCTTGCTATTTTAATCTGTACTTTCCAGCAGCTATCAGAGAGAGATTCTTACTAGCAGAAGACTCTGTTAGCTGCACCATCAGAAAGTTATGCTTCATCAAACTGGATATGCATTGAAAACCTTTTTTGCTTTGATTAATCCAACTAGATTTTGATAACATGGAGACAGTGGTCAGTATTACAAGAGATATGTCACACAACTAACACTGATGCTGTGTATCACCTTCCTTTAATGTGCTGGCTTCTTTTTCCCAGCTATATATGAATTAGATATCTAGTTTAGGTTTCTGAACTGCATTTGGGTTAGACATTTGAAGAATAACCCCACTAGCTGTGGTCCTGACATCAGAATAAAAGTATAATTTGAATGACAGTACAATCACATATCCTGAAAATGAAAAGTCTCAATATATTATCCAACCAACAGACAATCTGGCTGCTGGAGCACATAATGCATCTATCAACATGTTTGATGTGACAGGTTGGACTGTCAAAATTACAGCCAAAGTTATCGCCTTGACATGCAAAGAACTCACCAGCCAGCGCCCGTTATTTGAAGGATGGTAGAAAGAGGCAATGCTATTGAACAAGCCAGACAGGTGCTTTTGCACTAGTTTACTTGGTCCACCCTGTAAGAAATAAGCCACAGGATTTTATTACATGGACAAGTTAAATGAACAGGTAACAGTAGTGCAAGGTACAAGTGAGCACTCTCAACACAGCAATACCTCAAAGCATCAAATCACATCCCCAAGTCCCCTCCCTTCCCCACCCTTAGCTCAGCACTAAGGAGCAATTTCTCCCCATCAGATCAGATGAGATTCACCCTAAAAGAGTGATTCAGTTGTTCAGCACATCCTATGTGTGTATCCACAGTAGCACTGGGATACACACTTGGAATGTGGATACATTCATTTCCAGAATGGCACAGCCAGCACTTTGAAATAAACCTTTCCATCAGCTAAACAGAACAAACACTCATCTTAAACACATACTTGCTTAAAGCTCTGCATTAGTTTTTGTTTCTCTTTATGAAAAAGCTACTAACCATCATGGCTGTGATCCACATGACTGCGTGTCCTACATCATAAGCATTTGTCAGGAATCTTGGAACAACAACTTGGTTGCTTCCCACTGGAAGATTTAAACTCCTCAGAATTCTGGTAAAAATCTGAAAAGACAAAATATCACATTGGTATAAGTTACTTCATGGATTTATTACTTCATGAATGAATTACTTTATGCATTTATGTCATAGAACTGGCATAAATTAATTTTCTATCAAAAGTTGTTTGGTGGTTTTGGGTTATTTTTTGAACAACAACTGCTATAAATCTTAGAAAAAGCTGACAGATTCAAAAGGTCACACATTTATCCAAAGAATACCAACTAAAGGCCATTTCCACAGTAACACGGGATTAGTCATACATTCAGACAGCACTTGCACAGCAAGATGGACTGTTGCTTCAGTTTGGTTTGGTTTTGAGTCATGTGATAACAGCAGGAACTTCCAGTCCTGCCTGGTACAAAAGGACAGCTGAAATCTTCAGTTAAACTTAGGTCTTCAAATGGATGCACCTAATTTGAAAGAGTAGCCCACTCCAGTGTAAGACCCATACAGGGAAAAGGAATGATTCTTAGCAGAGGAACTCTGGCAACTTAAAGCAAACAAGGTAATTCCATAAAATGAGGACTATTACCTTTGGTACGTACGGATCCCAGTCTATATATCCGATGTTGTCAGTGGCCAAGCGAGCAAACAGATTTACTAGATGCTGAAAACAATCATAAAAAATATTTATTAGAATGTATTTATAATAAAAGATGCACAAACCCCTCAATCTACTTTACAGATGCAAGAGAAAAGCTACCTATGGCACTAAAGCACCTGTAAAGGGAGATTTCACTCTGTCAGGAGCCACCAATGCCATTTTTCACAATGCATCTGCATTCCTACCTTCAGGAGTCCAACTCATCGCACATCTGAGCCCTTACAAAGCAGGTAACTGGTCTCAGCTCTGGCAGAGGCAGCCTGCCAGAATATACACCCCTACCTCTTCAATATATGTGTATTTTTTAATGTAAAGATTACTAACAGTACTTCTAAAGGTTCACACACACTCTCCTTTCCTCCATGCTCTGTGAATTAACATGAAAGGCAGAATGCATTCACTATCATTTAAATACTCAACAATTTATTGCTAGAGCAACCCTGAAGAATAGCAGATGAACAACAAACTTATGCCCAAGCTATACATTGTCAAGGAGTTTAGCTTTTGCTAAGGAACATCTTCCCCCTTTTGAGCCTTCCACAGTAACTCTGACCTGGAGCAGTTTAGCAAGCACCTACGATTGCCAATTCATGTCATGGTGCTTCCTCATCACTAGAGCACTGTCATGTGAGCTCAGTGTGGACACTGGCCTAAAACAGCATCTATACATAGACAGTGAAGAAAATTTAACCAACACTGTTTGGCTTCTGCAGGATCCATCCTAATTAAAGCATGCTTGCCTGTGCTGATGGCTGTCACATCTGTAAGCTTTGGTTTGTGCACATCTGTGGCTTGTAAAGGTCACAGTCATTAGCTGTCAGAAGGAACTGCACTATGTGACTGTCTATGAAGAATCAGATACTCCATTGCCAGAGACAGTCTCATGAGTCCAGAAGGGAATTGAAAGATGTCCTCAGGAAAGAGTTATCAGGACTGAACAAAAAGGAGATAAAGTCTGACTCTCATATCCTGATTGTGAGAAAGGACATAATCCACTAGCTCTCCTTTTACAAGCTTGTCCAAACAAGGAAATACCTATTAGGTCTCCAAGAGCCTTGGAGCCTTGGTATTCTATCAATACCTTTAAGCTATAGCAAAGCCAAAAGGAAGCAGCTCAAATCATCCTTCCTTGTTCAGAGACAGATTCTTACAGAAGAACAGTTCACCTCTCAGTCTGAAGGACATGATAGCTTTGGAAAAACCACAAATTCGGTTCAGGACAGTCACATATGACACAGCCTGAAGACAAGTGTTACATTTTCTTCAATTATCTACCTTTTTGTTTGATACTGGGAAATACCCACTGAAAAAATCCCTTACCATGCACAAAGGCAACTGATTCTATAGCTCCCCTTCAAACAGCAAGTCCAGCTCCTGCCAAAGCAAGCTGAGGAAAAGCTTGCAGCATAGAAAGGCTTAAATTGGATTGCACAGTCAGAACCCATATGTCTCATTTTCTGCATCCAAGCCTGATGCAGTGAATATGCCTGCCCTTAAGATGCAGAGCAGACAGCAAAGGAAACAAGAAGTGAAAGCTTTGGGGGAAAAAATAAAGCTGTTGTGGTCCTTCTGAGCAAACTGTCAGAACACAGTGGAAGAGGGAAAAAAATAGCAGAGACAGCTTATGACAGAGTGTTGATGATTATTTGTTAGACCATTTGACAGAGACAAACCATATCATCGTATTAAAAGTGCAGGCTGTCATCTTCCTGTCAGAAAGAGTAGATGGAAATGGGGTTTTGGAGAGCCAGCAGAAAGATGCAATGTCTACACACAACCTCAAATAGAGCTTTGGCAATCGTCCTGTTCCAGTCTGGACACTTGTCAACCGTTGGAGCAAAGACTGCCTTCCTTCCTTTGTGAAGGAACAAACTCAAACCAGGAAGACCTACACACAAGCCTGCTCACAAAGAAATTGCCAGAAATTGCATGTCCTACTAAGGCAGCATTCAATGGGGTTTTGGAAATCAGGTGTCTCCAAAGAGAGAACACAGGTTCTTTACTGTATCTAAAATAAAGATGACAACTCCCTGCAGTCAAGGCAAAACACTGCTACTCAAAATTAGGGAGCACAAAAGTGCATTAAGATACAAAAGATGAGATTTCACAGAATTATAACTTAGAGAAATCACAATAGCATCTTGCATCATCATAAGCATTAGCAGGCAGTCTGGAAAATGTCCACATTCCCAAGGCTGGGAAGAAAAGCTGCCTGAGCTCACCATTAAACACTGTTCCCCAAGCACAAGTGCACTCTCATTTATTCAGGCAGTAATTGCTTGCTAACAATCATGAAGTTACTGTCTCTGCGTGTTTGTGCTAGTTACAGCAGAAGGAAAACAAGAATCCATTGTATCACTGTTGGACTTCAATGCCTTGCAAGCACGTGGTAGGAACATGTAAATGGATTTCTTCTTGTGTAGGTAAAAAGTAAATACTTACCCCTTCCCATTGGGGAAGATTCTGAACTGATACCCAAAGGCCTATAAATTCATCAAACCAGAGTCTGCAAGAGAACAGAATTAAAGTAACTTATTAATGTTGTGAAAGCAGCTCCCTCACTAGGTTTATCCCTCACTTTGGCAGGTGACTGCAGGAACTCACCTCAACTAATTCAACAAGAATGGAGATAGACATGGACATCGTTGTATCACTGCCTCCCACAGTATTCCTGCTACCCCCAACTCTGATCATGAGTTTCAGTCCTTGCTTCTTTTACCTCTTCTCCTCTTATTCCCCTCCTTTCACACAAGTGTTTCACCAGCAGTTCCCTTATCTATTGCAGCTTCACCACTTCATTACATATTGCCATCCCAATGCAGGTAAATCAGATGAAAAAATAAATCACACTTTATTTCCCCCTACCTTAAGATCTGTCCCTTGTTACAAGTGTCAGCAGCTTCTATTGTGAATCCAGCTGAAGCCAAGAATGCAAACCTTTATGGATTATATTCACTCCCTTCCTTCGAGTTTTCACTATCCCTATGGCACAAACGCACTTTTAACCTCACAGCCTCAGTAATCTCTACATGCACTAAAGATCACTGGCTTCTGCTTTGAAGTTCAACAGTTCTATCTTAAAGATGACCCAGAGATTGTCCTGCCCTGTAAATGTTTCTCCTTTAATTCTGAAACTCATTTCCTGTAGCTTATAGAATCCCAGACTGGTTTGTGCTGGGAGGGAGCTTAAAGCTCATCCAGTTCCAAGCCCCTGCCATGGGCAAGGACACCTTCCACTAGAGCAGGTTGCTCCAAGCCCGTGTCCAGTCTGGCCTTGAACACTGCCAGGGATGGGGCAGCCACAGCTTCTTCCTTATAGCTAATCTAAATTTCCCCTCTGGCAGGTTAAAGCCATTCCCCCTTGTCCTATCACTACACACCCTTGTAGAAAGCCCCTCTCCGGGTTTCCTGCAGGCCCCTTTTAGGTACTGGTAGACTGTTTTAAGGTCTCCCCTGAGCCTTCTCTTCTCCAGGCTTCTCTTGTGTCTCACATTTCCAAATCTTCACAGTGAACTGAAGACCTCCACCTCCAGTCCGTATTTGCAGTAAGAGCTGTACTTCATCTTACATGAAGGATGCATTGGAATCTAGCCCAAATTAAAGATAGGACTTGAAGCTCTGCTATGGTTAATGATTTTTACTTGTGAGACTATTCCTTCAGAATTAAAGTGCCTTTAATTCAATTTAGCTTGCTTTGTTGTACACCCTGTGCTTTACTCTAGGGAAGGGAGAACTCCTTAGAGAACAGGTACTACGCAATTCCTCTAGGTTACTTTCACAAAAGAATAATGCAGACAGAATTTGTGTCTTGAACTCCTTCCAACAATGCTGTTAAAAGCCACCATTCATTTTGCTGGTTGACTTCAAGCCATCCTGTAAAAGATCATCCACTGCATTTGCAACAGAACACTACACCAACAGCCATCCAACTGCACTTACTTGAAACCCTTCTGGTGAAGGGCGGGAGGAAGGGTTGTGGGTAGGAATAGTTCAAAGTAGGTAATAGCCTTTTGCATGGTAACATCAAAAGGACACATTAAAGGCCTCCATTCATCCAGCATCTCTGCGGTGGCATCCTCTGGAAAATACCTGAAAGCAAGGAAACCACTTGGCTTGGCTTGAAAGTTTGCGTCTTCTTAACAACATCTTTACAACTATTTACTAATCTGTCGTAAATCTTCGTATCACAGGAAGGGCATGTACCCTGGGGCAATAGACAGGCAGTCCTCAACCCCACTCAACCTTCACAGGCAACAGAGTTAAGAGCAAGGACACCACGTACATTATTTCAAGACCACAGATGTAAGAAGGTTCTGGCCTTGTTGAACCAGATAAGGTTCTGTAGAATGCAAAACCATTTTGATGTGAAGGCTACTATTCACATTTGATGCAGTATGGAAAAAAAGAGTACTTAAGGCATGAGGAACATTTATGGGAGCATTAGAAGAATGCTGGTTATTTAATTTCTTTAAGAAGAAAGTAAACATCCAAGCAATGCAGTATTTTAAATGCACACCAGATGCAACTGTTTATACAACATAGCTATTGCAGTTGATATGGGGCCAACTGGAATTACCATCATCAGTGTCCTAACCTTAAGTCAGCACTCTCATTTTCCTTTTTAAAACACTCTTCAGTGACTTTCACATTCATACCAGCTACCAGAAAAATCAACACTGGAAATAAGGGGGTTTATTTAGCTACAAAACCATATATATCTGGGAGAAGCGTTAAGGTTGTTTTATCCTTATGCTCCTCATGCTAGCAGTATGTGTTCAGAACAGCATCTCCTACAGGACTGCTCAAAGGAGTAACACCAGTGTGTGGAACAACTGCTCTCATGAAAGTGGGTAACTACAAAAGGTTGTACAACCAGTAGTAAACAAGAGAGTAAGTCTTTTCTCTGCAACTCTGCAGTACACTAAGCTATGAGCAAAGTCAGTTAGTGCAGAGGGCATTGGTGCAGGCACACACACTCCCAGTTAACGTACCAGGACAGAAGAGCAAAGGCAGTGGTGGCCTTATCCTGCCCTATTAACAGATTTTCCACCAAGGCTGTTCTAAAGCAAATCCAGACCACCTTACACTTTGTTTAAATATTATAACATAGAACAAGCCTGTCATTTTATTCTCATTTTAAGCAGCTTAAAACCTTGTATTGAGTATTGATCATGCATAATGCAGTAAACCAGAAAAGTCTCTACCCTTCACCAAAACCTTCTTAAATGAATTGGGACATCAGCCAGGGAATGACTAATAAGGTGGGTTTTTTTGGTTTTGAACACTTTTCTGCCCCGTCTTAATGGAATAGTAAAGATACAGGCTTTAACCCCCCCAAACAACAAACACTTACGGTCTGCAGCTCTTCACCAGTGTTTTCAGAACACTTTCTACAGAACTGAAACAAGAAAGATAACATCAGGGATGGTGTATTACCCAATTTCAATGACAGCAGATAAACTACCATTTGCTGATTTCTCCCTCAAGAGATTAAGATAATGTTGATGCAATTAGACGTTCTCTGTGAACATGCAGTAGCTAACTGCCTTCTACACAGACCTAATCATGATTCCAATTGCTCTGCTAAACTCCCAGTCCTACTTTTCATATACTGCACTAGTATTTACCACAGTTAAGTGATGACTGAAGAATTATTATCATTTATTATAAGTAATATCCTGCATTTTATCCATGAACAACCAGCAGAGCAAGATAACTCCTCAGGGAAGTTGAAAACACAAACAGGAAAACTGGGTTTATGGACTTCATAAATATTTGTAAGATAAATAAAGGCAACAGATTTCAGAAAGTTGCTGTTATTACTATACTCCAAACACACATCTCTGTCCTTTCAACATGGTTTTGGGGTTTGTCCAGTGATTCTAAGAAAAAGAAGTGAACTACCTGTAAATCAATGGTTATTTTGTTACTTTCCCTCTAACTGCTGGTTTTAAAAGGGTTTTCACCCATTGCAAGAAAACTTATTTGAGAAATCATTTGAACACAAATTGTCACAGGATGCCATCAACCACTTAAACCAGATTAAACCTCAGAACACACTCAAAGAACAAAAGGGAGGGGAGGAGAGGGATCCAGCAGTGGAACCATAAAGGTGGTATATTGTCACATTCATCACATCTTCTCTATATTACAAGACAAGCTCCAGACTCAATTGCTCTTTTACCAAAAACCATTCCCTGAATGAACAAAAAGGGTTCTGGCAGAAGAACTTCCTACACCTCTTAGATACACTTTCAGTCCTCCTAATAGAAAAACTGCATCCTTCAGCTCATCGCCAAAAGCTACCACACAGAACTGCTATTTTGGTCAGAAAAAGATGATGCAGATGGATCATCTTTAGAATTCTACTAAAGATGAGTTTAGGCTAATTAATTCTGAGACACAGCAGTAGGGGGCATGCACACACTCTCCCTCTAGTCCTATACAGACTGATCCCATACAAGCCAGAACTATAAAATGGATAAACCACCATTTCCCTTCAACACCTCGACACTCGATGCAAGCCAGCACAAGCCCACCCACCCCCCAAAACACCACTTCAGCTCAAGCAGTGCTCCAGAAAATGCAGTTCTCTATGTTTTATGCAAAAGCGACCAAGTAAATCCATGGCCTCTCCAGAATGAAAAGTCTGAGCTGACTGACAGCTTCTAAAATGTGAAGAGGAATGGCTCTAATGGTTCATTAGAGAGAAATGAGATCAGACTCTGCGAGAAGCTTATCAAGATTCTGGGTTAAAGTGAATGCTGTTCTTGAGAGTTAGGAAATAGGTAACAGTTGTTCCAAGAGGAGATAAATAGAGCATGAACCAGCAACATTCCTTAAGAGCATTAAAGATTAACACAAAAAATGTTTGTGTGGCCAAACAATCAAAAAAGCCATCCCCGTTCTATCACACACCACTGGAGGAAACTGTGACTAAGGAGAACCAAAGGACAGAGGAGTTTTAAGAAACACCAATGTCAGAGATCAACAAGTGTTTCAAATTCACATGTTTTCAGTCAGATCTCAGTATGTGTTAGTGGAAGAGAGCAGAGGAGAAAGATTAGAAGGGATATTCCATCCCTGGCAGTGTTCAAGGCCAGGTTGGACACAGGGGCTTGGAGCAACCTGCTCTAGTGGAAGGTGTCCCTGCCCATGGCAGGGGTTGGAGCTGGAGGAGCTTTATGGTCCCTTCCAACACAAACCAGTCTGGGGTTCTATGTCCTCGCCTGTCTTCTGATCAGATTTAGAATGGAAGCTAGAAAGAAACAAACAGCAGTAATTTTATACCTAAGGAAACTTCCATCCAAGACACATCTGAACTACAGACCAAGTACTTAAGGCATCTTGTAAAATTCCCTTTTGATGACTACTAGTTAGAAAGGGATGGGACAATATAGCTGGGAAGAACAAGAGGCTGCTGGTTACTGTTTTCATTATCACTTTGAACCAACTCAAACCTTTTAGTAGTGGCTCCTGCTCTACTCTTGGTTGGACTTTCTGTGTACCTGTTACTGCAGAATTGTTCAAAGACAGTTATCACACACACAAACTTGTGTCTGTTACCCAACACTAAACCAGCCACAGATCAGGGGAGCACAACAGCAAGCAATTATACACATAAACCATAAAAGATTGCATCAGCCTGCTGTGGTTTGTACTCCTGCTCAGGTATTTAATGCTCACTACCTGGACAAGGTATTGAGACCTTTTTATTAGGGAGATAAGGAAGCCACATACACTGGAAGGTATCTCCTCTTAGTAACTGAAAAGAAAAATGTCTCATGCCATTGACTTTGCTTTTAGTTCCTGCTTATTACCTGAAGTATTATTAGATCATTATTATTATCATGCCACATGGATATATTAAAAAGCACCAACAACATTATTAGCCCCTATCACCAGTCATCATTTTGGCACTACATGATTATTTTCTTCTTCTGGGAAGGAGATACTAATTGGAAAATGCAGGGCTGACCTGCATTCTCAAGGAGAAATATGTTTCAGTTAAAACAACGTATAAACTGACACTGTTGACTCCTCCATTATCAAAAAGCAGAAAAAGCACAAGTTTCAGGTTTTCAGGACAGATTCAGGCCTAAAGGGGAATTCTAGCCCTGTGATGGACACTCCATTACAAGAGCTTAAATTAAGATGATGAAAAGAGCAACAAGCTGTAGTTTCACTAATGCTTTTAGTGACTTTCTAACTGCAGTGAGCCAAATATCAATCTCTCACTGGCTTAGTACAGCTAAATAGTTCTTCCTAAAAATCCCCAAACAGAGCAAACCCACTGCAATTCCACTCCACTTCTACCAGCTGTCTCAATATATATATCCACCAAAACTCCTGATAAGGTTTTTGCTGTAAAAATTCAGTCAGCTCTGCCAATAGACAAACTCTGCTTCACACCACAGCTACAAGGTTGTTGCTGGGTGGATTTTCCAGACCCTATTACCTCACTGCTAAAGCACTTTCCATGATTTCATCGTTTTTAATAGTAAGGTACACTGCCTCGGTGACATGCACTCCTACAGCAAAGCTCATTCTGGCCACATTCAGACCCAGTGATGATTCAAATGTCAAATTTCCCTTCCATTTGACCCTTGGAACAGATATGCCAGTTAAATTAGTTAGATGTAGCCACTGTATCAGCCACTTCACACACGCTGTATCTTGGTCCCCATTAGAAAGGTTGACATACAGTGCGACATTCTCATAAACAGTGGTGTAATGTTAACATTGGTTTTCCAATACAATTATTTATGCAGGAAATGACACTTGTGTGGCAAGTGTTATGATTGAACAGAACATGCAGAAGATGACACATCGGCCAGAGCTGAACAGAACAAAAAGTCTTTCTTACCACCTATGTAACACATTAAGCACAAATGTTTTAGGTGAAGACAAGCCTGGTCGATATGAACTGAATGTAAAAAAACAAAACACAAAAATAAGAGAAAATTAAAACAGTTGTTAATTTAACAGCTCTAAATCAAATCAAGCAGCTTGTAAAAGTCTCTCTTGACTTGCACCAAAAAGATACCCTCAAAATTGATGTTAAAAAGGATAAGCACCGTATGAGAAGAAATCGCACTGCATATTCAGATAGAGTGTGTGCTATTTATGCAGTTAATAAAGCTGAGTGTTTCAAATGGACCACTACAACCAATACCTTCCTCCCAAATCAGCCTCCTTTTCCCTCTTGGAAAAGCCCCCTTCCCACCATGCAGGTGTCACACACTGGACCACAGCCCCACAGAACAGAGTTAAGCAGCTTCATGAGGTGCTGGCACGTGCCTAGAAAGAAACCAACTAAAAATAGGTTCTGCTCTTCTGGATTTTCACTTAAAATAGTACCTACAATGAGCAAAATAGTGCAATTGAGCAGAATTATTCTTCCAGCTATGTAGCCATGAGAGAAATTCAGCATGAAATGCTCTAGTAACAAGTTACAAGGCTACAACATGTATTTTCTGTTTATGTCACTGATCAGCAAGAGGACCTTCCACTCAGCAGAAGGGATCCGTGATGGTACTTCAATATTCCTGGGAAGAAAGGGATTACTTTCTAAAGCCAGTTTAAGTATTTTCACCTTCATTTCTTTACATGAAGCTTCAATTCAAACAAGCATCATCAGTTCTCCATGTAATATCTCTTATAATCTGGAGTTTATAGAGCAGGACCTTCTCCAACTGGAATTATTAGGAAATCTGGGGAGTTTGACAGATGGGGAGGGATTGGCAGCACAAAGAATGAAAAAACCCCACAAGTTTTCATTTTAAAATCAGTCAAACATTTGTAACATTCTTAACTGGGAAAAAAATGATTTGTCCATATCAACACTTTGAAAAATCTATATATGTATTTCTGTAGAAGGTACTTCACCTTCCTTCTTGTGTGTACAGATTTACACCTGGATTCCAGATACTGGCAATGACTACAGCACATATACTCTAAGAACAGTACCATTTACCTTTCTCCCAAACCCCTAGTGTGTTATAAATCAGAACAGCAGAATTTGACTTGACTATCTGTGCAGGCTTTGGCTGGGATAGAGTTAATTTTCTCCATAATAGCTGGCACGGGCTCTGTTGC